TAATTTATCAATATAAAAAGCTACTATTATGTTTTCAGTGTTAAACTTTAGTATATTGCTTATGAGCTCACAGGGTGCAGTCGGCCAAAAGAACCCAGAGTTACTTTCTGTTATCTAAAAGAATGTGTATTAGCTACAGACAGGGAAGTAATACTTCATTAACAGTGAAGTGAGAATGTATCATTTCTTGATAGAAATCAGAAAAAGCCCCTCCTATAAAGGACTGGATTTTGAGAATTTGGGAAAAAAGACTTCTACTAGCATAGAAGTCTTGAGGATGGTTAACATAAAAAAATCAGATAAAATCACTGAGAAATGGTGAATGTTTGAAATGGCATGGAATGATAAAGTTAGCGGTGGCAGTAGATCTTATATATTCTTTAATGTTTTGTGATAATGAAATATTCACATGTAATTTTTATTTTGTAAAATACATTCTAAAAAATTATTATGTAAAACCCAATAAATAAAATGTGTGCGCTTCAATTTGCTACCGTTTTAGCAGGTCAAAAGTGTAGTTGTATTTAAATTATATTTACTTGTGAAAATAGAAATGTGATACATGCTCATTAGAGTCTGGTCCCAGTTGATTATACAGTTGAATTCACACCCAGGAGATCTGTTGCCACAAGTTTCCTTGAAAGCATCCAAAGAATAAGGGTCTATGTTTTCACGCGCAGGCTGCCGCCCATCTTTAGCTGTTTTCATGGCAATGGACACAACATAAACTGACCCCCCCCCCCCCTCGTTGTAGAAAAGAGCAAGAGTCCAGCAGCACCTTGAAGACTAGCAAAATTTGTGGCAAGGGAGGAGCTGTCGTGAGTCATTCTTTGGGTGCCACTTTTCTCCTGCTACAGACAGACTAACATGGCGACCCATCTTGATTGACCTCCAGTTGAAAACACGAGCACACTTTCCTATCTTTCACTTAAATGTCCTTTCGGCAGACTGGCTCAGCTTTCCTCATATACAATTTCTCTTCTAACGTTTTTAAACCCTCCTCTGAATTTGTCAACAGTCTCCTTGAACTTCTATGTCATTCCCTATTGGGGCTGACCACCATAAGTTTCCCTTTCCACATCCACAGCATATGAGCTGATCTCTCTCTGTCTCTCTTGTTTTAGGCACTCCCTCAAGGATACCTCAGCCAGGAGAAACTGGTTACAATAAAAAAGGAGCCGAAAGAATCTCTGGGAATAACCATTGGAGGCGGGAGAGACAGTCGGCACAGGCTCCCTGTGTATGTGACCAGCGTCCAGCCTGTCGGGTGCCTGTTCAGGGATGGAAGAATTAAGAAAGGTAAGATGCCTTGAGGCCCTCCTGGTTTATTTCCATGCTTTAGCTTGATTCCCTAGAATTTGTCCCTCCGTGAATCCGTGACTCTCTGAATGGTAACCCCGAAGAAGCACGTTAAGCCTTATAGCAGAAGATTGTCTACATTTTATTCTTTCTTTGTACTACAGGAGATGTGCTTCTGAGTATCAACAATATTGATTTGACTCACCTTAACTACAGTCAAGCCATCTCTGCCTTGAAATCGAATGCTGCGTTGCCCACGGTGGTGCTGAAGGCCCTGGAGATCATCGTGCCGGAAGAGTCGTTCGAGTCCCCGGAGGTTCCAGAAAGCAAGGAAAGCGGGTTGGGCTGGGCTAGCTGGACTCCGCTGTGGGTCAGGTGGCTTGGATTACCTAGGTACGTTTGTCTGCTCAGGTGATGCGGAATCGTGCTGGCATGGCATTGTGCTATTTACATCTGGGGCCGCTTGAGGTGGTCCAGCTGTTTACTTGGCATAGCTCCCTGATGTTTTGGGTGGTCATCTGATCAATAAGACCAAGCGCTTCAATAACCCTTAGCCCTTGTGCTTTTGAAATGAGAAGATTGGAATGGCTTTATTGAGATATCATTTCAGCCCATAATTAGGGAAGCTTAATTATGGTAGGAGGCGACATCTCAATTGGCAAACTGTGTCTGACACCTGTTAAGGCTGCTGCACCATAGAAATGTTAGGGGACATGAAACGGAGTGCTGAGAAGGTGGAAGATCAGAGTTGGCACTGGCTCTTCATCACAGTTGACTGCCTTTTGGAAGCCTGGGCCACATCGTCACTGTTTGAGTTACAAACGATTGTCACTGTTCTTGATTTGGCGTGATGTTTGAACTGAGCCGCTTGGTTCCCAGAAGGCAGGGGCCACAGCGAGCTTCTTTAGGGGCATGTGTGGAGTTTGTTTCCTTAGACTAAGCCACAAATTGGAACTAGGCATAGTGGGTTAGATGAAAGTTCTTTCTGTCCACTATTGCTACTCTGTGCATAATATTGATACCTCTGTTATCCCCCCACCCCGTCATAGAATCATAGAATGTTAGAGTTGGAAGGGACCTTGCAGGTCATCTAGTCCAACCCCCTGCACTCTGCAGGAGCATAGCCGAAAGATAGCCCTACATACCTACAACATACCCGAAAGATGGCCATCCAGCCTCCACTTGAAAACGTCCAGCGAAGGAGCATCCACCACCTCCCGAGGCAGACTGTTCCACTGCTCAACCACTCTTACAGTCAGGAAATTTCTCCTGATATTTAGCTGGTAACGACTCCCTTGTAATTTCCACCCATTAGATCTAGTCTTGTAACCCGGAGCAAGAGAGAATAGGTCTGCTCCGTCTTCTTCATGACAGCCCTTCAAGTACTGGAAGACTGCAATCATGTCCCCTCTAAGCCTTCTCTTTCCCAGGCTAAACATACCCAGCTCTTTCAGCCTTTCCTCATAAGACTTGGATTCCAACCCTCTCACCATCCTGGTTTGCCCTCTTTTTGAAACTTAAAAGCCCTAGACTATTCAACTTTTCCCAGTAATAAAGGTGCTCCAACCTCTTAATCACCATTTTCCCAGCTCTGCAGTGCATTTTTGAGATCCAGTGACCAGAACTGCACACAGTATTCCAAAATGATCTATACAGGAGTGTTGCAGTATTGGCTATTTTATTTTCAATCTCTTTCCTAATAATCCCCAGCAAATAGTTTGCCTTTTCCACCACTGTGGCACATGCATTTTCACTGAGCCATCCACTACAACCACAGGGTCCCTTTCTCAGTCTCATCAAGTTCAGGCCCTATTAGCATATGGGATTTTTGTTCCAGTAGGTCTCTTTCTCTGTCTCAAGTTCAGGACCTATTAGCATATGGGATTTTTGTTCCAGTAGGCATCACTTTACACTGACCTACATTGAACTGCATTTGCCACGTTGCTGCCCACTCACCCAGTTTATTGAAATCGCCCTGCAGCGGTTCACAGTCGGCCTTTTGGTTTTCACCATCCTGAGTGGTGTTGTGTCGTCTGCAAGCTTGGCCTCTGCACCGCTTACTCTCAGTTCCAGATCATTTATGAACAAACTTAATAGCGCCAGTCCCAGTACTGATCCTTGTGGGACCCCACTGCTCCCTTCCCCCCATTGAGATAATTGCCCGATTAGTCCTGCTCTCTGCTTCCTGTCATTTAACCAGTTTTTAATCCATAAGAGGACCTGACCTCTTATCCCACAACTTATCCCTTCTCCCACCAGAAAAGGACTTCAGGTAGCATTTCAGGCTGCTTTGCAAAGTGTGGAGAAATCCTGATCCATGGGTGGAAATCCTTGTGCTTATGGAAACGTCTAGTCTGGGGAAAGTGGCAAAAGCCAGTTTGCCACCCTAAGTGGCAGTGCTGCCGTCAGCTGCCTTCCACCTCTCCCTTTCCGTCAGCAGCTAATAAGCCGAGTAGCCTCACATGCTGCTCTTTGTCCTGCAAAGGGGAAACACGCAGCAGGATCGTGGCAGGGGTGTCCAGGATGGTGTGCTGCAGGCAGAGTAGGGAGAACTCATTGTGACTAGCCTGAGCTGGTTGTCACATCTGGCTCTGCTGAAAGACTTTTGGATGTAGAATGTAGAAATGCAGCACGTGCCTTGCACTGGGTCTTTGGTGAGAACTGGTGGGGGGGGCACGGTGGCCCAGAGGGGTCGGCTTTCAGCCCAGAGACCTACTGTTCCAACTTCACTTCAGCCATAAACTCACCAGCTGCCGTTTCTGAGTTTCAGCTCACTGATGGTAACAGCAGAACAGCAGTATGACCTGCCTGATTATGGGTTGGTGTAAGGAGGACTGACTGGTTGCAGTATGGGAAGTGCTTGGGGACAGGGCCATTCACAGTCCCCACGGGGGTGGTTTTATTTTGGACCTGCACCATCTGGCCTCAGAAGCAAATCAGTATTATGCCCCCTTGTGGTTAGGTCCAAAAGTTTACTTCTCCTGCAAGAGACTCTGTCCTACATTTGGCATGCACTCTGTGATCGTTTTCACCCTGAGAGCCTCAAGTCTCAAAAGCCCTCGAGAGAGTAGCGGTGTGCTAAAAATAAAATAAAATTCGGCCCGATTCGGATTCGGCCGAATTGGGCAGCATCAGTTTTGGCCTGCAGAAAGACTCCTGCATGTCAATTTCGGCAGTACCAGCTGACTGGGGAGTCTTTTGGCCAGCCAAATGTCAATTTCAACCCCGTTATATCCTATGGGCCATTGAAGTCAATGGCGAAAACATAGGGTATATTCTGGGGGCTGGAGAGGAGGGGGTTTGAGGGAGAGGCTCCAAACATGCAGGGTAGCTGCTGGAGCCTCTCCCCAAGATACCCACCAAGTTTCTAGAACATTGGACCAGGGGGTCCAATTCTATGGGCCCCCAAACAGGTTGCCCCTATCCCCTCCATTGTTCTCTATGGTGGGAAAAATACTTTTTGCGGTTGCAGAGTCTTGCCCTCAAATGTACACTAGAGTTAATTTGGATGAGATTTTGCTTCTGAAAATATGCCTCAGGGCCCCTTTCTTCACAATGCTCCTTGCTCTTTCGTATGAGATTTGAGGGTTTTATCGGTTAATTTTGGCAAAACAACAACACCCCCACCCCCACCCTCCTTCACAAATCATCCCGATCTGGGCGTGTGTTTGATCAGTCCCTGGGAGCAGGGCTGCCTTCCCTAGCATAATATTGGCTTTCCAGCAAAGAGCCTGATTGTTGAATGCAGCAGTTGTTTCCCGACACACAATCCATTTGAAGCGAGATATTTGATCCACCGGCAGCACTGCTGTGCTGCTGGTAATGATCTCATCGTTGTACTCTGGGCCAAGGGTGCTCCGATGCAGCATACCTGGTGTTTTCTGCAGCTCATTATAATACGCTGGTATCCCTCAGCAGGGGCTTGGGATGTTCAACCGGCTCCAGAGCAAGCTGAGCCAAGCAGACCCAGTAGCGCTGCAGGGGCTACTTGGCACGGCCCCCTCTTGGCTGACAGGGCAACTGGGGCCCACCAGGGACATTTCCAGTGGGTTCAATGCCTCCAGTGAGGGATGAAAGATTATCTGGGCAAGGCGGTTCCGCTCCCTTTGGTTTGGAGCAGTTCTGCAAGGAAGGCAGAGCGCTGGAACGAGGACCACTGTGTGCTTTCTGTTTCAGCCACCTCCACTTCTGTCAAGATATCGCCTTGCACAAAAGCAACGCGGAGAGCTGGGGCTTCAGCATAGTTGGTGGGTTTGAAGAAAGCAAAGGGAGCCAGCCGTTCTTCATAAAAACCATCGTGCCTGGAACACCTGCCTTCTGGGACGGAAGACTGAGGTATGCACGCTGTTGGCGTCAGTTAGTTTTGCCTACTTTATAAGCATGGCGGTGTCTTTTGGGGGCGGGGGGCGGGGGGGAGAACTTCCGATAGTAGTTGGCTTTATCAGCAACTTCTCGTGAGGGCAAGTGTATCCCTGGACTGATTGAATGAATGGAGATGTATGGGGAAATTGCCCAAGGCTACAAGGCCAGCGTGCTGAACCATGCAGAGATGCAGCAGGCAGCCTCCTGCGTGAATAAGTGCTTTGGGCCCACAGAAATTTCTAATCCTTCAGTTTATTTATCAGGGTGCACTAGTGATCCAGCCCACAGTTTGGGAATAAGTGGTCACATAAGTGTGGACATGTTTGTTGTTTGTTAAGTAACATTCTTGGTGCTGAAGCCTATGTAGACTTTTAGCTGTTGCTGTACCCGCGATGACCATGATCGAGGTTTATAAGATTGTGCATGGGATAGAGCAGGTAGAGAAAGAAGTACTTTTCTCCCTTTCTCACAATACAAGAACTCATGGGCACTCCGTGAAATTGCTGAGCAGTAGGGTTAGAACAGATAAAAGGAAGTCCTTCTTCACCCAAAGAGTGATTCACACATGGAATTCACTGCCACAGGAGGTGGCAGCGGCTACAAGCATGGACGGCTTCAAGAGGGACTTAGATAAGCATATGGAGCAGAGATCCAGATAGGAACTCTGGGGCAAGGGATGCTCTGTCTTCTTGGTGCTTGGGGGGGTGGTGGTCAACAGTGGGAGGGCTTCTAATGTCCTGGCCCCACTGGTGGACCTCCTGATGGCACCTGGTATTTTTGGCCCCTGTGTGACAGAGTGTTGGACTGGATGGGCCAGTGGCCTGATCCAACATTGGCTTCTCTTACGTTCTTATGACCAGGCGAGAGAGCTTTATCCTGACGGTGTTTCCTCTCCTCTCTGCCCACTAGGTGTGGAGATGAAATTGTGGCTGTCAATGGCGTGTCTGCTGTGGGCATGAGCAACGCACAGCTAATCCCCATGCTGAAGGAGCAGCGCAACAAGGTCGCCCTGACAGTGGTGTCCTGGCCCGGCAGCCTGGTGTAGGACATCAGTCCTCCTGAGCGGTTGAACTCTGGAACCCCTTCGACCACAGACAGTGCAGCCTGGCACATCAGATGAACGGAGGGGGCCGTGACTGGGACCATTCGTGCTGCTCAAGGCCTCTCCCGCACCCCTGCTACCACGCCAAAGGAAACGTCGTCTGCACCAAGCTCTCTGGCAGAATAATGGGTTTCTGCCAATGGAATTCTGTCACCAGGACGGTTACGTTCTGCAGACCTTTACACGCACATTGCACAGTTGGGGCCCTGAGCCACTGCCTGCTTCTCTCCTGAAACCCTGTCTCCTCCATCCTGCGCTGATAAGCACTGGGGCAAGCAGAGCCTGCTGACGGTTTTCAAGATGAGGTGGCCCAGAAGGCTCCGTGATATTAGCCGGTATTTGACTGGGTGTGACGTTGGTGGTCACACCAACCTATTGGCAGGAAGTGGCCACCAAAGGAATGCCTTACAGGAACTGTCCTAGCTGTCTCCCCCCTCTAAACTGTCGGTAGCACGTGTCTGTGAGAACTGCACTGTTTGGGAGAACGGTCATCCTTGTCCCCAGCATCAGCCAGATCCTGGGAAATCATAGGAAGGAGCATGAGGGAGCTACCTTGGGCACTGTCCTCCCCTGCTTTTGAATGCCCCGAGTTGGACCTCCAGCTCTTCCAGGGGCCGGCACTGGCTCTGCCACTGCTGGAAAGAGTTGGGTAGAGACCTAAACATGGTCTTCAGGCTGAGCATAGCCCACTGCCCTACTGGGTGGTGAAATAGCTCTCTCTGCCCTTCTCTCTGGAAAGCTTCCTCTCAACCAGTCGCAGTCCCAAGTTGACGCAAGCAAGCATGGCTGTGTCTTCATGCCCTCTACAAAGACTAGAAATTGCTGTACACCAGCAAGTGGGAGACTTCTGTAGTCTGGGGGAAGTTAAAGAGATGGTTGCAGTTCCTGCCCATTCCTGTAAAGGGTTGGCCACAGAGGGGCCATGCAAAGCATCCCATGGGTGTGCAGGAGAAGTGAACAGGCGCCTTCCCTGTTACCCCTTTCGTAGCCATTTTCCTTTGTGTTATTTCTTGTACTTAAGAGTGGGGCCCTGCGGCTCAGTGGTAGAGCACCTCCTTGACACGCAGAAGGTTCCAGGTTCAATCCCTGGCATTCCCAGTTAAAGCGATCAGAGAGGAGGTGGTGCGAAAGACTTCTGCCTGAGACCGTAGAGAGCTACTGCCAGTTTGAGTAGACAGCAGATATGTAGACCCCATCTGCCCCATAGCTGGCTCCTGAGTGGCCTTGAGCCATGCCTTTTCTGCACACGGAGGTGAGTAGCTGGAAGCAATAAAGCCATTTCTTTGCTCTCATTCTCTCTCCCTCTCGAGTGTGTCTCCTCCCTTTCGAAGAGGAGGGGCTTATCACCCTTCTCCTCCCCTCTCTGCCGGGTCTCTGTGGGACAGGGTGGTCTAAGAGGCACAAGCTGACAACGTGCCCGTGAAAGCGGAGGGGTAGAATTCAACTATGCAGTTTCTGACTATGCAGAATGTCCAGGGGAAGGGGAAAGTGGCCACCCTAAACTCAGAGTTCTCCCCTTTCTGGTTGCTCCTTGTCTTTTCGGAGGGAAGTGCCAGCACGCCCAGCTAGTTCCCAAGGAGAGGCTCCATTACATTTCAGCAACCCTAAACCCAGAGTTCTCCCCTTTCTGGTTGCTCCCAAGGAGAGGCTCCATTACATTTCAGCTGTTTCATCTGAAAATCAACCAGCTGCATTTCCTGGCAGCTGACCTTGAACATTTGATCTATTAACAGGATTTCAGAGACCTGGAAGAAAGAGCCTGTAGGCAGCTGGGGGCGTCCTCAGGCCCAGTTCAGGCCCCAGTGAGAAGTCAGACAAGCAGGCTGCCCTCTGCAGGGCTCTGGGTTTCTGCCGGCTGGTGGGCTGTGTCTCAGGAGGGAGGGATGCGGGGGGGGGGCCTTTGGGACGGCCCGCTCTCTGGGTGGGGTCTGCTGCAACTTTTGTTTGTAAAGCCAGGCCACTCACAGCTTCTTGTGAACTAGCACAGGAGTGGAAAACAAGACTTTCAGTCCGTGGTGGCAGAGGCCTCGTGCAGCAGTCTTCCCATCCTACCTGAGAGGAGTCTTTTGACCGACACAGGATTGACTTTGCCTTCTCATGGATTTTGGCATAGGGCGTGGGTTGTGTTCTGCATTCCCTACAGGAGAAGAAGGGCTGAATAGCAGCCCCATTTCCCCGTGCCGTCTTCTTTCAAGGTGCCTTTGATTCACAGCACACCCAGTAGTCGCTAGAGTGCTTTGCACCAGGCATTAGCTCAGTGCATTTATAAATTATTCTGGAGTTACTGATGGAAGTTGTGGAATGTTTGTTCGGAGTCTCTGCATCATCCCTGCGGCAACCACCCCTCTCTAAGAGGCTGAGGGATTCCTGGGCATTTCTGCCATCTTACAACGGGCAATGATTCAATCTGGGCCCTTGCATTCTTCTACATGCACACATGGAAAGGAGCCCGGTCACCTGTATGCGGATGTCCCCTCACCCACCCAGAAGTAGAAAAGGCAAGATCTTGAAATAGGTCTTTTTCCTTCCGCATCTGATTTGCTATGCCTGTTACAGAAAATACTCAACACTTCCAGAAAAATGGTCAGTAACTGGCACTGTTCCCTCTAAACTGAGTTAGTGTGAGCTAGCTCGTGGTTTTTTAGCCACCGGCTCACACATTTTGGTCTTGGCTCAAAAAGGAGGGCTCCAGAGCAGACTGATTTATGCAGCAGCCAAACTGCTCGCTCCCAAATTTAATGCCAGTAGTTCACCAAGTAGAATTTTTGCTCACAAGACTCCACAGCTTAGAGGGAGCATTGGTAACTGGGTTCTGAGTTTGTGAAATTGGGGGGGGGGCACCCTGCAAAGACAGCAGGACAGGCAGTGCAGCAGTCCTTGTCTTTGGAATCTCTTTCTGGAGGGGCCCTTTTCTCATCTGATATCACAGCCACCCCCCAGGAAAGCTGAATGGGGATCTACAGGCCACCTCATGTATGCTTCTGCACGTCACAGCCCCCCCCCCAAAAAAACACACAAAAGCATCATATCTTGACTAGTCACCAGCACACACACACACACACTTTAAACCAGATTAAAAATTAATGACGCAAAAGTCTCTACGCAGTAGCAGAGGCTATCCCGATCGCATCAGCTCTCGGCTGGGAGACCCCCAGGGAAGTCCAGGGTCATTTGCAAACCACCTCTGTCTGTGTGTCTCTTGCCTCAAAAACCCCACCATAGTTTTAAATACCTGTTTCCTTTACAAGTTCTGTACCTCTGCGGTCAGTGGCCTCTTGCATTCCCCCCCCCCCCCCCCCCCCCATAGAGTAATCCCCAGGATTCTGGAACTGCTGTGGGAAAGGCATCCAGGCCCACGCTCGGCCCCTTCAGAACGCCCCCACAGCAGCTGCTGGTGGAAAGTGCCAGCGAGTCACAGCCCCTCGTGGGGTTTCCAAGGCAAGAGGCCTCCGGAGGCGCTTTGCCATGGCCTGCCTCCGCATAGTCACCCTGGGCTTCCTTGGGGGCCTCCCGTCAGGCTGACCCTGCTTAGCTTCTGAGGTGTGACCAGGCTGGGCTAGCCTAGGTCACGGGCAGAATGTGCTGTCAGTTCACAACCACACAGCAGCCCTGTAAGGTTTTTAAGGTCAGACCAGGGCACCACCTCCTGAACTGCCACAGGGCAAGTTGGTGACGAGTTTAATTCATTTAAGCTGTGATGCTAAGAAGCCAGTGGAAGAATTACTGTCAGCAATCATTTCCCACAAAGTGACTAGAAAGTAGCTCGCGGAGTACAGGGCAGAAGTGAGCAAAGTGTTTATGGAAATGGGCTGCAGAGGGTCTTCAAGGCAAGAGACTTTCAGAGGTGGTTTCCCTTGCCTGCCTCTACACAGCAATCCTGGACTTCCTTGGTGGTCTCCCTTCCGAGTACTAAGCACAGCTGAGCCTGCTTAACTTCCGAGGTCAGGCCGGCACGGGCTGTCCAAGTCAGGGCAACTACAGCTACACAAAGGGAAGCTCAGTGATGTTGGGTGTGCGTACCTTTATAGCAATATCTGTATCTGTTTGCCAAGTGTGCCCCCTATCTGCGGATATCTAAATCCATGCATCAGGGCCACACTTGCACTGAACAGGTTTTTCTGCAGACTTGGGGGACCCCCTAAGTGTGCAGAAAAATCTGAAATCTACAAAAAAAACCACCACCACAGTGGAATTAAATGAAAAGAGTGTTCTCTGTGCACGTGTGAAGAATGCCCTTTACTACTTACCTTCTCTGAGGTGAAGCATCTCTGGTGCCGAGGCGGGCCCAGTGGAGGTGGCAGCAGTGAAGCAGCCAGGGGGGGAGGGGCCTGTGCTGGGCCTGCCGGCAGCAGCTGATCATCCCGAGGCACATGCTGGACGCGGCGAAGTGGGAGGGGGACCCCCCCCACACACAAGCATCACGGGCTCACACTTGCCGATCCTCTAATCGAGCGGTCCCTAACATATTCCAAAGGAGCTCCCCACATTGTTTGAAAACCATGACGTCGTGTTCCTTTTCCGAAGCAAGTCAAGCCTTATCCTCTGCCGTGAAGGTGCTCTGTCTCTTGAGACCACACACACGCCAGCCCCATTTCCAAAAGAAGTTGCTTTATTCCCCACACGTTTTTCAGTTACTGACCCACTCACTGCACCATCATAGCATACAAACCAAAATACACCGGCAGACAGGCTCAGGTTTCCCGGGTCGTTGGCTCCATACGAACACCCAGACTTGCATGACTACAACACACAAAAAAGTATAAAGTTCAGAGAACTTCAGGAAGTGTTTTTAAATAAGTTCTGCAGGCGGAAGAAAAGTGGGATGCGCGTGGAAGTGTGATTTTTTTCACTCTTGAAGATCTGAGGGGCTCTTGAGGTTACCTTCGGTCTCAAAAAAACAAAAACAAAAAAACCCAACCCAAAACACAACAACAACAAAGAAATCCCTCCCCACCATCAAAACGGAACCGGGAATGACTACGTCGGCGTCCCATGAAAAAGGAGTGTTGGTGACTTCTGTCGATGAGGAATCAAAACTTAACATCTGAGTGAAAAACGGCGCTCCCCATCGCTAGGCGGGCTTCTGGAGGAGACTCTCCTGTTAGCTCACAAGAAAGCTTGTTGCCCTCTCCAGCATAAAGCGGCTCAACGTCGGGAGGCTCTCCCTGCTGGGGAAGAGCGCCCTTCTCAGTAAAACTGGCCGGTCCGTAGGTGGATAGGACCCAGGTAGCCCGCTCAGGCTCCTTCCCGAGCTCTTCTTGGGAGACAGATTTTCACAGCTACAAGGAAGGGGTGGAGGTGGGGGGTGGGGAGACTAGCTTATGGAAGCCAGGCTCTAAGCTGGCTCATCAGAGGACCTAACTTTCGTCTCTCAGTTTTTTGGACAACATGGCTCCTGCAGCTGCTGCTGCCCTGGGGAGGGGTGTGTGTGTTAAACAGAATGGCCAGATATTGTCCCGAGAATCTAGATTCACTGGTTTTAGCTGAATCTGCTTCCCGTCAGAATCTGACACACTGAAGCAGCCCTCGGGGCGCAGTTACTGCTGGGCTCCCCTTTCACAAAAGCCCGGCGGCAAGTGTGAGCCGGTGGGCAGTCCGTAATCCCTTTGGCTCCCACATTTCCCTGGGGAAGCAGGAGAGAGTTTCCGTAATCCCTTTGGCTCCCCATCGTTCCACATTTCCCTGGGGAAGCAGGAGAGAGTCCCCGGGGGAGCGGCAGGCTGGTGTTGGCCGGAGGGCAGCTGCTGCGTTGAGACCCCAACCGGAGAGGCTACTCCTTGGAGTCCTGCTCGTTCCCCTCAGGGACCCCGTCCTCGCAGACTTCCTTCTCTTCCTTGCTGCGCTTGTTCTTTTTGTGCTTGTGGCGCCGATGGCTTTCCCCCTCCTCGCTCTCATGCTGTTTCCTGGGTTTAGATGGGAAATACGAGAGAGAGAGAGAGAGAGAAGACAGAGTCAAGTCAGTCTGGCTGCTGAGCCCAGGAATACAAGCAGGGCCCTCAGTGGCCCTGCGGCTTTGCAAGAGGAAAGTGCACATATGCCGAAGAGGCCATTGGCGAATACTGCCAGCATGCCGGCTCAGTGTGGTGCACAGAGGAGAACACTGCAGGCTGCAACACAGAGCCATAACAGCATTTAAAAACCCAAAGACTAAAAACTGGTGCTACTGCTGGACCCAGCCAGTCGTATCCGTGTCCTGCTGTTGGAGCGTAGCCAGCTAAAGCAGCTCCCAGGCCATAGAGCGCTAAAAGCCCAAGAGCTGCTTGCCCCCTTGCTTGCGCAGACAGAGCCCAAGGAAGACACATCCTGGACCATCCAGACAGACACGACCGACCAGCTAATTACTTTTGCTCAGGGGTCATTTCATAGAAAAAACTTGGTCTCAAAGGTGCCACTGGACTGTTTTGGACCGGGGGACTGAGGGGGGGGGGCTCTGCAACTTACCTGTCTGCTTCTTGCTCTGACTGAGGGCTGCTGGGGGCTTGTTGCATGTCCCCACCCCCTGGACTCTTTACTGCTGGAGCTCTGCTCCTGTGCGCTCCTGCAGGAAATGACCCCTGCTTTTGCTTCCAGTGAGGACTGCAGGGACTCCATCCCTGATGAAAGTTCAGCCTTTTCTAGACACTCAGGCTGTGACCACTAGAGGCTGGGTCAGTTCCAAGGCTGCATCTGAATGGACCACGTCGGAGTCCTGTGTGCTTCACCTAGAGAGAAGGCTACCAGTCCTTGCGTCCAGATTCCAATCAGTGGTCCCTCTAAGCTGAGTGAGTGTGAGCTAGCTCACAGTTTTTTAGCCTCCAGCCCACAGATTTTTGTCTTCGCTCAGGAAGGGATGGCTCCAGAGCAAACTAATTTATGCAGCGGTTTAATCACTCGCTCACAGCTTTCATGCCAGGAGCTCACAAAGCAGGATTTTTGCTCACAAGACTCCACAGCTTAGAGGGAGCACTGATTCCAATGCCTTCATAAACCAACAGCAGAACTGTTGCTAATCGCCACAAGGGCAGATAGGAGCCAAGCAGCACGCTCCCATCATGCCTGGCTTGGGCGCCAGCTGAGAGGCCCCGTCCCTTCATCTCCCAACACCATTAATGGGGGCAGCAAATAGGCAGGCACCCCTCTGTAGCGCCTCAATCCAGCTGAGCTGAGAACCTTTTCCCCGAGGAGCACTATATTGAATTTCGCCATGTGGGGGTTTTCTGAGCAAATCTGACAGCGAATTTTGGCTGACCAGCAGGATAAAAAAAGAAAAGAAATAAAATTACTCCACGGGGATACCCTTAATGGGTATTTGGAAGCTTCAGATGGCGCAAGAAACAGACTGAACATGGTATTTTGGACTAGAAATCAGATTGCGGGACCATCCTTTTTGGTGCACAGTTGTGCTCCAGTTCCCACAAAGGAAAAGGCTTACCGCCGGGACGACTTGTGTTTGCTGCCCTCCTCTTTCTCCCGGTGCCTTCGCTCCCGGTGGCGATCTTCTCGCTCTCGGCTGCGATCTCGGCTCCTGCGGTAGTCCCGCTCGAAATCGTAGCTGCGTTCCCGGCTATAGTAACGATACCTCTCGTCATCACTGGAAGGCAGGGAGGAACACACACAGAGGCTGGGAAAGAGAGGAGGGGAGCCCACCCCTTGGGAGCTCAAGCTGCTCTCTGATCTTCGGGGTACCAGCCTTTGAGGGTCGACATGCCCCCTCGGTCAGATACTACACCCGGCACAGGGAGCATTGACTCTCGGGAGTTCATACCCTGGGAATCTTCCTGGTCTCTCAGGGGCTCCCGGACTCGAAACGGGCTGCTCTACTGCGGACCAACATGGCTGCCCTCGGAAACGGCCTCAACAAGGCAGACAGATGCCACTGACCAGAGTGAAGGTCACCATGTGGACACGCTCCAGAACCAACTTCCGTTAGTAAAAGAAGAAGAGTAGGCTTTTATACTCTGCTTTTCTTTGAGCGGCTGACAATCGCCTTCCCTTCCTCTCCCACAACAGACATCCTGTGAGGCAGGTGGGCGGGGCGGAGAGAGTTCTGAGAGAACCGTGACTGGCCCAAGGCCACCCAGAGGGCTTCAGGTGGAAGAGGTGTGGGGAATCAAACCCAGTTCCCCAGATTAGAGGCCTCTACACCACAATGGTTCTCAAAGCTAGGCATTTGCTTTAAGGAGAAGTTCATGAAGTCTCTCTGTTCTCCCCTCAGAACAAAATGGGGCCTAAATACACAACTGTCAGGCACAGAAGGGTCACAGGAGTTTTAGCATCTAGCTTGCTCTAAGCCAGGCAGGCATATGGATGTGCTGTCATATGTGGGTGTCATGATCTGGGCTGTGCCACCAGAGGCCTACTAGGCCCAGGGAGCCTGGCTAGCAGTAGGTGAGCCTGGGCCTACAACTCCCAGAAGTCCCTGAGAGGTTTTGGAGCCAAAGTTGACCAATAGGAAAAGAGGAGGGCTTGGAATAAAAGATCTGGTGCAGCAGGAAAAGCTGTTCTTCCCAGGGGACAGAGCCAGAAGGGACTGAGGCTGCTGTAGGGAAGAGACCCTCATCCTGAGGGAAGGGTGAGTAGTCTAGTGCCACTTGGAATAGTGAGCTAGGGACAGTATATATTCAGACGCGTTAGGGCATTTGATTTCTTTTCTTTTCACCCACTTACGGTTATTATTCCTGCACCTTGTTTGTTTGACCGCCTATAAAATAAACCTTTTCCTTGTTGTTTACTCTGCCTGGTCCTCATGCCTGTTATTCGGCCAAAAGGGAGGTCTGAAGGTCTTGGGAGGGTGCTCTGGGCCTTCTCAAGGGATCCTAATTCCAGAGTGGTGGCAGCGTCAGGTGACACCCCACCCGAGCCGTGACAGTGGGTTTCATCTCTCTGAGTCGGGTACCAGGACAAAAAGCACACTATTTTGCACAACCTTCTCTTATGCCCTCCACATGCCTAGATGGTCAAGAAACATGGACTCAGTTTTTCTTCCTTTCTCAGGAAGGAATTTTCCTCCAGGCCAGATTGGCCCAGTGGTCCTGGAGGTTTTTTGCCTGTTCCCATAGAGCAGGGGTCACTGGGGGAGTTGGGAGGGGGATGGTGGTGCAGAGGATTGGACTAGATAACTTTTTGAGGTCCCTTCCAGCTCTGTGCTTTTCTGTTTCCATCTGGAACTACACAGCTCTTTCAGCCCCCTCCCCCCAAGCAGAGGATAATTCATAAATCCAATACATCCCCTACATGAGGCGGTTGGCTCCCCCCCCCCGGTTGATCAGTTTTCCCTATTCCAATTGCAAAATCTTATTATGAACAAAGAAATCCCCTTACAGACAAAAGAGTTCAGAAAGAGAAAGGTGCGAGGTGACAATGCACGAAAATGAGAAAGAAGCAAGAACCTAACAGAAATTAAAGGGCAAAAATGGTCCTGGGCTCCCCACCCATAGCCCTGTCATACATCTGGAACGTGGAGGGGTATCCTCCTTCTCGTTCCCAGCTCTCTCCTGCTCAGCTACTATGCAATATCTTATGCTGGACCTTGTAGAAGTTCCAGCTGCAGTCTATACGGCTGGGAAAGTTAATGGCTTTGTTTCTATGCCCGCTTGCTTTGCCGCGTGCACGAAATATATCCATTGGCTTATGCTTACAGGGGGGATGTTTGATTTCACTGTAAGTCAGAGGCCCTACTACTGACGGCCATTCCTGACACCATCTGTACACGTGTTTTTTAGTACTGGAACCACTAAAAACAGTTATCTTCTTATGAAGCCCTGTGTGGTGTGACCTGACTAAGGAGCCTGACAGCTGGAAGCTTTGACCCACCTTGTGCATGGAGAGGCACGCCTTCCCCACGGAGACACAGCTGCTAACTTCCTCCTTGCCAGAGACGGGAATACACCATAGCAACCCAAACTTCCAGCCGGGTGTTATGGAATGCTGCCTAAGGGGATCACATGACCTGCGTCCCCCGTGGAGCCCCAGATCGGCATTCTGGGAAGCCTCTTGCAGTAAGAGCCGATGCAGAGTTCTCGTCATCTTAGTCCCCTGAAGCCAAGGGGCTTAGAAAGGAGCAGCTTTGCTTAGGGCTGTGTGGTGAAGCCCTTTGCGTGTTTGTGCCCTTTTCCTTTTGCAGCTCCCTCCTGGTAAAATACTGGCTACCTCTCAAAAGTTCTTTGGTAAGGAAAGCTCTCTGAGGCCTGTCTCCTGTGCGTGCCAACTCAGACAGACTGGGGTCCCCCTTTGTGTCAGGAAGGCAGAGACGTCTGTGGCCTTGATGGATCAAAGTGGCCTTTTCTGCCACTGGAATACTAAAGGGGCCTGCGTGTGAGAGATCAGCGCAATGCAAAGTAGGGCCGCAGCCTCCTCAGAGAGCACAGGATTTGCTGACTTTCCTCCGCAGGCTGCAGCTGCGAAGGACACGGGAACATCCCTGCAAGTCAATTTGTTCCCCTCTCCCTCCTGAGCAACCTATACGCGTACATCTCTGGAGCCGTTCTGCACACGCAGCAAAAGGCAGAGAGATCATGGCGCTTTCGATGGGCATCAGGATGGCGGAAAATGTGCAAGAAGCCCACCCTGGGCAACGGTGAATACCACAGCGGCCGACGGCTAGCTCTGATCAAGCACAACGGAGCGTGCACTTCTTTCCAAATTTATTTGCTGCCTCTCCAGACACCAGCTCAAAAAGGAACGCATGGAGCAGCCCTCAGCTTCCAGCGAAGGACTGCCAAGTGTGAAGATTTATAAGCTACTAGGTACCAGCTCTGCTGGGGTTGGCTTCATCTAGGGATTTTGGCTGGTAAACGCGGGGCAAGATTGAGCTACAAAGCTGCCTGGAGCCGGCCATCTGCCTCAAAGGGAGGCCCTTCCCAGCAGGCCAAATTCCTGTCCACACCATTGGCAGCTCTGCAGTCCACACACCTGGTTTCCCATATTCTCATCCACAGAGAATTCCCAAGTGGGGGAGAGAGATTCTCCCCCTTTTCCCTCTTGGTCTTTCTGGTTGCTCGACACACCCTACAAACCAGAATGACTCAGTCACTATTCCCACTGTGAACAGGAATGCAAAAACTCCATGCTAATACATTCAGGCAGGTAGCCACACTGGTCTGGAGCCATATAACAAAGTTTGACTCCAGTGGTACCTGGGCAGGGGTCATTTCCTGCCGGAGCGTCCCGGAGCAGCACTCCGGCAGTAAGGCGCCCAGGCCCCGCCCACGAAGAGTCTCAGCGGGGGGATTTAAATGCCTGGGTTCCCTGCCCGATCTTCTCCAGGTGCCCCACAGCCATGGGGCACCTGGAGAAGATCGGGCACGGAACCCAGGCATGTCTGCTTCCCTGTCCTTCCCATCTCCAGCCAGCCCACCGCGGCGGGTTGGCTGGAGACGGGAAGGACAGGGAGGCAGACATGCCAGCCTCTCCGCTTTTGCTGAGAGACTCAGGGAAGGGGGGGGTTAAACTCATTTGCATATGCCATAACTCATTTTAAACATGCCTGCCCTTTGTCAAGGGTGCATGACATATGCATGTGCAAATGAGTCGTACAAATGAGCTCCTGCACCTCTTTTTCTAGGAAATTACTCGATCCTGGGTATTGTCAGGTCTTTGACATAGTCACTCTCACCACACTCTTGTCTCAGCAAGCTTTGTTTATTGAGAAGTGAAAGAGTTCCAAGCATGGACAGATGCTGTGCCAGAACTGACACCCAGGTGCCAGGACGGCACCTGCACTACATACAAGACATCCCCCCCTAAGGCACACTACCCAATCAATATTCTCACCTAGCCTGCCAAAGATCCGAACTTGCCCAAAAGGCCGCCCCCCCCACACCTGCCACTAACCACTGCCTTATCTAGAGCTTGCCTGCACCCAAGGTCAGGGTGAACGCTGAGATCATACGTTTCCCAGGCCTTGTAGACTACTCCAAGCTGCGTAAGCTGACGCGTACACACTCACATTCGCACACCCCCTTCTAGCCAGGAAGATAAACAGCATGTAGACGAAAACAGAGGACTGAGTTCTTAAAAAGCAACTAACCCCTGAGGCCACATAGTCTGAGTGAAGGTAGGCCACACTAAATAACAAGTGAGGCTTGAGCTTGACATTCTG